CGCAACCCTCGTCGTCATCGACAAATTCTCCAAAATGGGACACTTCATCCCAACACACATGACATCACGCACCAAAGAGACAGCACAACTATTCGTTCGCTACATCATCTCGCAACATGGCATTCCAACCACACTCATCTCCGACCGAGACCCCAAGTTCACCAGCAAGTCTGGAAGGAACTGATGTCTCTGCTTGGGACCAAACTCGCCATGTCATCCGCATACCATCTGCAGACAGATGGACAGACCGAGCACCTCAACCAAATTGTAGAGCAACTCCTCTGCACAGCACGCAAAGACGAAATCTCTAAATTGCATCTGCTCGTCCTGGAGTTTGCCTACAACAACGCCACACACGCTGCTACTTGACAAACCTCGTTCTTCCTCTGCTACGGATGCCACCCGCTCACGCCAAAAAAACCGGCAGTATCTGCCACAGTCCAACCCGCACATGACTTCATAACGACCATGCACCAACTTTGGGATTGGACCCACGAGCGCCTACTCGACATTCAGTAGCAACGGAAGCGCCATGCCGATCGCCACCGCACTGACCACACCATTACCATGGGAGACCAGGTTCTCCTCGACACCCGCAATCTCGACATCGGTCATCTTCCATCCGAACTACGACCTCGCTTCTGCGGGCCCTTTCTCGTCGAAGCACAGGTCACTCCATTTTCTTCCGACGCAGGCCCTTTCTCACTATCTTTTGGGTTATCCTATTATGATGATTATATCATCGACCAGGCTCAGGATGTACTCGCACGCTATATCTAGCGTAATCCTGCCGTAATCCCTTAAATTCAATAGCCCCACATGGCTATACGCAGGGTGATTCTATTTCTAGAAGGGTCTATTCCCTTTGGATTGGATAAACTTGGTTACCTGATGTTGTTTGGAAGTATAAAAGTGCCTTGTACCAATCGATGGTGCAACTTTTCCTCGACACATTCGATCCTGTGACAAGTCGTCCTCCTGGCGCCAACTTGTCCACTTATGAATCTGAATATTGCCCATAAGTCTGCCGCATGAAGTACCTTCAATGCCCTCCATTCTGCAGGGGTTGCAATAATAATAAATAAATAAATATATATATATTTATATATAAACGCAGGCTATGAGAACTGGTCGTAAACTGAGGAGGTTTTTCCGCCTATTTGACGAATCGTGGGAAGGGCAACTCGAAAAAACACAAATGGTCGGCGGATCAAATGGGTGCACTCAACAATGTTGTGTTGGCACAGTTTCCAAAAGCGCCAGAGCTGCATTATGGAACCATCGAACTTGGCAAAACTCGAGTTTGGTAAGGGAAACAGGCACGACGGAGAAAGTGTCAGTAAGCGAACCAACAACCGATCTGCCTTGTGAAAAATTGGGAGACCCCGATAATTATGAGGGGTAACTAGAATGTATTTTCTGGAAATGCCAAATCCTCCACGCAATGGCCATCTGTCAGTCGGATGACAGGTGGCTGCCTAATCTGGCTAGCTGTGCACATTCTGCACACGTGGCAGATATCATTCGGCAAACCACAATCCTCCAATTTTGATAATTTGAATTCCGTGGACACGCTTTGCTTGGGTTGTACACCGAATTATACTTGGGTAGGGTTGATGTTATGCTAGGTAACTGTAGAACAAGCCACTAAACATCCATAGATTTGGAAAGGACTTATTGAAAAAAGCCACATGAATATTAGTGAACAATACTTCCTTCTAAATTAGTCAGCATGGTCAAAGATGTTTTGACTTAGAACCTAAACTTATTTACTAGCCATGGATCTACGTCCGGCTTAGTGCGCACAAGCTCTACTGCACAAAGAATACTAGACATTTTGACAACCCGGTATCTGTCTGCCAATGGAGCCCAGCGTAGTTGAATGCAGCCCATTTGCAGGTCATCAAAAGCTGCCCTCTGATAATATCTTATGAAGGCATATGGCATCAGATTCCGCCCCATACGCAGCTGGAATAATATGCGGCATTGGGCATACCACTCCACCGAGCCTTCGTCCGTCTCTCCCTTCACACCAAAATTGTTGTACCAAGGCCTCCCATAAAATTGGGCCATCGCACAAATGGTATGCGGAAGCCGACTGAATTCTGCGTCAACTGCAGCTGGTATTGCAACGCTGTTGTGCACCTGTAGGGATTTTGTGAGAGTTAAAATGATTCAATCAAAGGGATATGTGTGAGAACTGCATGCCCTGGTAATACTGGTAGATGAAAAAAAACAGAGTGGGGGGGAACGCAGAACGACGGGGAATGCAGATAGGCGTGGAATGCAGAAAACAGTGAGGGGCAAGGCAAAATTACTAGCATGGTTGCATATTTTTTTACTAGCGAGACTTACATGTACGGTGTCGATAGTTGTTCCCGCACATGCAGGGGCCACATTCAATGCCCGACGAAGGTGGGGCAGGTCTGCTACTAGCAACGCAATGAACTCAGCATCGCGTGCTGAGTCTGGAGTTAGCGGGACGACGAAGGGTGGCTCACGACGGCGTGCTAGGACGAGTAGGCGCCAACTATCTCTGGACAACACACGCTGTCCTGAGCATTGCACCTGCACATAACAAAATCACAGGTAGAATGCATGTTAGGTGTGATCAGTGCGAATAACGAGCATCCACTGAATCCGTGCAAACCACTTTGATAGGCACATCCTCACCTCAACCATCGAGGTGTCATAGGTCTTCCGTGGCCCCAGCACCAGTGCCAGGGACTCCAAGCGTAGCCTCTTGACCTCAGCATCCATAATGTGACTGGTAGCGCTGCTCTTGTTGGATGCGCGGTACGGGTTCTTAATGTGCTCTATGTGGAGGTGCTCGAACATCTGGGTGGAGTAGTGTTCTGGAAGCCCAGCTCTAGTGATGGAGTCAATGTAATGGCTTATTAGGTGCATTTTGATGAACCTCCAACTGGATGTCAGATCATTAAGAGCCTTGACCAAGCCCTCGATCATTCTGCATGGGGGTAGGGGGAGGGGGAGTGAGTCGAGTCAATAAGGGTTAAATCATGCACACCAGATGACATATGGTCTGACCGCTCCAACTCCAATGCTTACCATTCTGCCTTGTTCTTGAGCTCACGTAGCAAGTCTATGGTGTGCTCGCTCGTCCTTGCGCAATAGTTGTACCACTCAATGAAGGCCGTAATTGCATCAAGCTGCGCCTATGGAACACGCCGTGGGAAATCTTTCCCAAGGAAGGGAAAAACTTGTAGCACACTCCGATGCTCATAAGCTTGGTAGCTCGCACCTTTTGCAAAATACTCCCCACCCGGTAGGCGCATAAATGGATTATGATTGTTCTCCCGTGGGTACTTTAGCCTCTCGTTCGCTTCTATCCACTTAGTCATCGTTAGCTTTGCACGAGGTAGATCGAAAATGTGCACCATTTCCCCAAGTCAACTTGATGCATAATATTAGGCATGACACACAAATAGGGATTCAATATAGGTACCGACTCCCACTGCCAACCCCATAGAAAACATTTGATTGCATGGGTCGATTGCGTTGACATTCCCTGTGGAAGCATTTTCCGCTGCATTAGTGCAGTTATAGCTCTCTGGATTAGGGGCAACCGTGGGGAAATCCAGTTTTTAAACATATTGGTCTCCCTAAGCATAACCATGCATAACGAACAAGGGTGGTTCGTAGCGCCAAACTTTGTGCACGTCACGTTGCATGACTCAGGGTAGTCGCATGCATATGCGTACCGTGATGGCCAAGCATTATAGGATGCACCACTTGGGTCATCCACCCTTACTCCAGTGTGAGATGCTTTTCTCAATGGCTGATAAGATGTGTTGGAACACCACCAACTTGTCTAAAGCATCGTACTCAGGGGTGTAATTGGGTAGAAGGGCCAATAGAACATGACCCCTTGGCTGCCAACGATCATGCTTGTTGATGTTACCCAACGTGAGGTACACCGGGTGGCCTTTAGCCTTTCCTTGCTGATCCATGGTTGTTTCGTCACTCGATAGAATGAGTGCCGCCACAACACCCTCTCCATCAACCTTTTGGATCTCATTGTGCAACGTAAACCACAAATCTCCAGTCTCAGGAGTGGTGTACACATGAGTCCCACCAGGGATGCGAGCTGTGGGCTTTAGAACAAGCTTCTCCCCAACTTTTGGGTGGGTAATGTTAGGATTAAGGACAGAGTCTAGGTGAACTTAGGAGCTAGAATTACTCAAAATATAAATCCGAAATTCTGGACAGAAAAGTCGTCTTCACAAGAAACGACGTCGACAAAACACTAGCCGTTGGAATGTCGCGAAACTTGGATATGTTGTAGCTCTTGATCTCAGCTACCGTTCCCAATTTGAATCACGTTGATTGATGAAGTATTCGCGACGCTATGGCTTTCGACGCACTAGGGGGTAAGCTGTAGGAGGAGAACTTAACTCAATCTCAAGAGTTCAATCAAAGTTCAAGAATCTCACAAGGAATTAGAAGGAGCAAGAGAAAGGTTGGGATAGAAAGAGAGGGACGAGAGGGAAGGTCCCAAGAGAGTCCCCAACCAAGGAAACCCCATAAGCACAAAGATTCCCTCCCTATAGGAACCTCAACTTTGACCTTTGTCCCTTCCCAACCAATCCATCCAAGTTGGCCACCCTTGCCAACCTAGCTTGGTTGTTCCCAACCAATTTGCAGCTGTTACAGTAGAGTGACAAATTTCCCCAACCCCAAAGGTCCCAACTCCATATAGAGTCACCCCACAACTTCACTTTGTAACCGCCGCAATTGTAACGCAAGCTCATGAACTTTGAATCTTCATAGCTTTCGCGTTCTTGCTCCGATTGAAGCGATTCTTGTTGCGTCGGAAAGATCTTCTCAAGATCTATCATCAAAATACCTGCTCAAACAAAAATAACACAGAACACATTCCCAAACTCCAGAACACACCACACACAAATTCTTTCACATTCAAACCACACATGCAAGTTGAAAACATGGGATGGGAGGCAGACAGAATGTGATAGCATATGATGACATCACACAACAATCTCCCCCTCTGGCTGCCAACCATCATCGACCATACCACATCTCAAGCATGCATACTCAATGCACACTCATCCCAGCAAGCTTCATGCCCTTCCAATGATCCGCCTCCGCCAGACGCTTGGTGAAAATATCTGCTGCCTGCTGATGGGTCTTCACTATCTCCAGCCGCACCTCCTTATCAAGGAGTCTCCTCACCCAATGCCACTTAGGCCTTATGTGTTTTGTCAGCCCATGCAGACAAGCATTCTTGGCGAGCTTCACAGCGGACTCATTGTCACAATGTCCATCTGCCGTATCTTCCATCCCAGGAGTGCAGCTATCGCTAACAGCACCCTCAGTGTTGTTCCTTTCCCCACAGGAGCAAACACCTCATCATAGTCCTTCCCCTTTGTCTGCTGAAACCCCCGTGCCACAAGCCTAGACTTGTAGCGGGTCAGCTCCCCTTCAGGTCCATACTTGTGCCTGTAGATCATCTTGGAAGTGATTGCCTTCTTTCCAGGAGGCAAGTCACACAGGTCCCATGTCTCGTTCTCAATTAGGGACCCGAACTCCTCATCCTCACTCGCCTTCCACTTCTCCCCATTTGGTCCATTCAAGGCCTCTTCTCGAGTCTTGGGCTCAGGGATTGGTGCCCAGTAGCAGTGAGCGATCTCATCTTCCTCAATCTGCTCAACCACACTCCCAGCCTGCACCACATTCGGCTTGCCTCTTCCCCCATAGGTCAGCCTCACTGGAGGGCGCACATCCCTCCTAGGACGCTCAGGCGGGTGTGGAACTCGAGGTGGAGACTCATGCTGCTGCTGCTGCTGCTGCTCTACTTCAGCTGCTCCCCCTTCCTCAGTCACCCCAGACATCTCCTCCTCTGACACTGCAACCTCCACCTGTCTTGAAGGCTGCTGCACCTCATCTGCCTCCACAATGAGCGGTGTAGATGGAAGCTTCTGTTGCTGCTGCTTCCATTCCTTGTAGTACAGGGACTCAAGAAACTTCACATCCCTTGACACTGTCAACTTCTGGGTGGTCAAGTCCCATAGCAGCCACCCCTTGTGATCCTTTGCAATCCCCAAGTGCACACCCCATCTTCCAGAAGCCTCCAACTTCCCCCTTTTCTCCTTAGGCACATGAAACACCACCATGCACCCAAATGCCCTCAGCATGTTCACAGCTGGAGCACTCCCATACCACTTGACGTATGGGATCCACTCCTTATCTCCAACTGTAGCCAGCACCCTGTTCTTCACAAGGGCGACCTGCCTCAGTGCAGACACCCAAAACGGATCAGGCAGCCCTGCACGCCCAAGGAGAGTGCGTGCCCCCTCCTGCAGGGTCCTGTTGAACCTCTCAGCCACGCCATTCTGCTGTGGGTTGTAGGGCACTGTCAGTTGATGCTGGATCCCCTTCCTCTTCAACTCCCCCTCAAAATCAGCTCCAATGAACTCCCCACCATTGTCACTACGGATCACCTTCACCTTGTGTCCGCATTCCCTCTGAGCTCTCGGCATCCACTCCTTAAGGACAGCCGCTGCCACCTCCCCCTTGCTCTTCAAAGGGTAAACCCACACTGCCCAAGTGTGGTCATCCACAATTGTCAAGAAATAGCGGCTGCCTGAGAGGGAAGGGGCTCTTGTGGGCCCCACCACATCCATGTGCACAAGTGCAAGTGGGGTCTTGGATGGTCCAGTTGCACTGTTGAAGGGGAACTTGGAGAACTTGGTCTCCAAGCATGTAGGGCAGCTCCCAATCTCCTTCACTTCCCCTTTCACCTCCAAGCCCTTCAGGCTCCCATTCTTCACCAACTTCTGCAGCATAGGGAAGTTCACATGACACAACCTCTCATGCCATGTCTCCCAATCGGCCTCTCCACTCCTTGATGAAGCCTTAGCCCATGCCGCACTCGCATCCACACCAGCAAGCACCTCACCATGTGTCTGCTGCTTCTGCACTTTCTTGACTGCTTCCAGCACCCCATCAGTTGGTGCAGTTGCATCTCCTCCTGCTGTTGCCTTTGCCACTGCTGCCGTTGCTGCTGTTGGAGTCTTCCCATTCCAAGGGATGATGGGCAGCTGCCACAGGTCCTTGATGCAGCTGGTCTCCTCTTCCAGACTCCACAGCACCTTCTTCCCAAGCTTAGCACGGCAGCTGGTTGGTCCAAAGGTCACTTCGGCCTTACTCTTCTGCAGCCGCCGCACAGAGAGAAGGTTAGCAGACAAGCCTTTAACCAGCAGAACATTCCCAAGCCCCACAAGCTCCCCATTAGCTCCCTTAACCTTGGCATTCCCAACACCAATCACGGGGAGCAAAGCACCTGACGCTGCTGCCACATACTTAATCTTCCCAGGGGGTTTTACCTCATCAAGCAAATCTGCCCGTGGGGTCATGTGACTGGTGCAACCCGAATCAATCACCCAGTGCGTGAGAGGGTGCATCACAACCTTTCCCACAAATCCCACATCACCCTCATGCCCATGCACATCCTCAACCATAAGAAACAAACCAGGATAGGCATTACCTTGTGCACCTTCACCTTGTGCACCTGAGCCTTGCACAGCGCCACCTTGTGCGCGTTCACCACTGGGTGGCTTCATGCCTGGAGGTGCCCATCCCTCCGGCCTGCTGAAGCACTTGAACCAAGGATGCCCTATCTTCTTGCAGTACCAGCAGGTGCCCTCCATTCTGGTACTCCCCCTGCCACTAGAGCTCCCATGCCCCTCATTATAGTCACCTCGGCCTCTACCTCTGCCAAAGCTCCTCCCACGGCCTCGGCCTCTCCAACCCCCTCTTCCTCTGCCGCGCCCTGCAGCACCATACCCCTCAGCAGTCTTAGTGGCAGCACCGCCTCCCACATGGCGTCTGCGGAAGTCCTCCTGCAGAATCTGCTGCCTTAGCCACTCAGGTGTCCATTGATCTTGTTGAGAGTTGAGGGTGGGGATGAGGTTGTCCCAAGAGTTGTCCAACACCGAGATGATCTTGGTGCACTGCTGCAGCTGAGATACACTGCTGCCCGCTGCTGCCATCCTTGCATAGGTGTCCTTGATCTTGTCAAGGACCGGCTTCACATCGTCCCCTGGTTGCATGGAGATGGCAGCAAGTTCCTTCTCGAGCACGATCACCATCAGGAGAGTGTTGGGCTGAACCACATCACGTAGTAGTTTCCACGCCCTTGGACCCGAATCATCCGCTTCCACAAGATCCTTGATGTGCTCGAACATCTCCTTGTTGGCCGATTGAAGAATGAGGTCGAAAAGCACCGCGCTTTTCTCAATCCACCGTTCACGTGCTTCGCCTTCTTCCGGCATCTTCTCTTCCCCAACAGCAATCTTCAGGAGCTTGTAGCGTTTGAAGGCACTCCTCATCCGTCCGCTCCATTCCTCATAGTTGGAGCCATCCAAAGCTTCAACTTTTGATGGCGGCGGCTCACTTGTCTTCTCAGCTACAGCTCCTCTTCCATTAGCATCTCCTCCTCTCTCATTCATCTTCTCCTTGAGAAATGACGAATTTCAGCTCCCCTTTGCTGTCCACACTCAGCTCCCTCGATATTTTCACAAGTGTCGGCGTCCACGAAATTTCGGCAGAGTTTCCCCTTAGCGGAAGACACATCCAACCTTTAGAACACCACTTAGGCACACCCACAGGCCATGGTGGGTCTAGAAGGGTCTTCACACTTCTGTAGACTCCTCTCAATGTCCTTAATATGGCTCTGATACCACTTGTTAGGATTAAGGACAGAGTCTAGGTGAACTTAGGAGCTAGAATTACTCAAAATATAAATCCGAAATTCTGGACAGAAAAGTCGTCTTCACAAGAAACGACGTCGACAAAACACTAGCCGTTGGAATGTCGCGAAACTTGGATATGTTGTAGCTCTTGATCTCAGCTACCGTTCCCAATTTGAATCACGTTGATTGATGAAGTATTCGCGACGCTATGGCTTTCGACGCACTAGGGGGTAAGCTGTAGGAGGAGAACTTAACTCAATCTCAAGAGTTCAATCAAAGTTCAAGAATCTCACAAGGAATTAGAAGGAGCAAGAGAAAGGTTGGGATAGAAAGAGAGGGACGAGAGGGAAGGTCCCAAGAGAGTCCCCAACCAAGGAAACCCCATAAGCACAAAGATTCCCTTCCTATAGGAACCTCAACTTTGACCTTTGTCCCTTCCCAACCAATCCATCCAAGTTGGCCACCCTTGCCAACCTAGCTTGGTTGTTCCCAACCAATTTGCAGCTGTTACAGTAGAGTGACAAATTTCCCCAACCCCAAAGGTCCCAACTCCATATAGAGTCACCCCACAACTTCACTTTGTAACCGCCGCAATTGTAACGCAAGCTCATGAACTTTGAATCTTCATAGCTTTCGCGTTCTTGCTCCGATTGAAGCGATTCTTGTTGCGTCGGAAAGATCTTCTCAAGATCTATCATCAAAATACCTGCTCAAACAAAAAATAACACAGAACACATTCCCAAACTCCAGAACACACCACACACAAATTCTTTCACATTCAAACCACACATGCAAGTTGAAAACATGGGATGGGAGGCAGACAGAATGTGATAGCATATGATGACATCACACAACAGGTAAGAAGATCTTTCAATGCTATGATAGAGTCACAGAAGAAAAACTCGAGAGTGGATTTGTCACCAACGCGCACTTGGCTGCGTTTTCAATTACGGTACGATGGGGGTTTGGCACACGATCATCAATGTATTTCTCAACGTCTCGCACTGTTCGAAAGGCCGTAAGCTCGTCAATCCTCGCAACATCGTGGTTCAAAATGCGTAATAAAGTATCAATAGCTTTCTTAAACAACCTGTTGGTGAGGAGAAAATGCACAAAAGCATCTCGAAAGTTGAATTCAGGTGCGTCATCAACGGGTCCTGGCCCCTCCCCACTCTCCTCACCGCCCACGCCCACATCCACAGCAGGCTGTTCTCGCTCGTCGGGTAGGTCCACCTGAGTTTGGGGTGGAGGGATGTAAGACGGGGTTGGTGCTTCGGGGCGCCTTTGAGTCGTCGATTGGCACATGGCTGCTCAATCCTGGTTAGTTGGGATGGCAGATGTTTAGAAGCGGAGATGGCATGGATGCAGGGGCAGTGTGGGATACGAGAAAGGGAGAGGCCCTTGATGCTGCAGCAGCATCATTCGCTGTGTTTGTCCGACACCTGTCGCTGATTTGGTGATTGCGGAGCGGACCTCGCCCGCCAAACCGAGTGGCGCCACACCTAATGCAATCATATGGCAGCCTGCAAGTCACATGCATGTAAAGGTGGAGGGGCAGAGAGAGGGGGAATGTAGAGAGAGGGGGAATGCAGAGAGGAGGGGAGTGCAGAGAGGAGGGGTGTGCAGAGAGTAGGGGAATGCAGAGAGGAGGGGAATGTAGAGAGGAGGGGAATGCACAGAGGAGGGGAATGTAGAGAGGGGGAATGCAGAGAGGAGGGGAATGCAGAGAGAGGGGGAATGCAGAGAGGAGGGGAATGCAGAAAGGAGGGGAATGCAGAGAGAGGTGGAATGCAGAGAGGAGGGGAATGTAGAGAGGAGGGGAATGCAGAGAGGAGGGGAATGCAGAGAGGAGGGGAATGCAGAGAGGTTGAATGCAGAAAGAGGTTGAATGCAGAGAGAGGGGGAATGCAGAGTGAGATTGAATGCAGAGAGAGGGGGAATGCAGAGAGAGGGGGAATGCAGAGAGGGGGGAATGCAGAAAGAGGGGGAATGCGGTGAGGGTAGCGTTCTTGAATGCGAAACACATGCACCAAGAGGGGGGCAGGTAAGGGATGCAGAGACGTGGAAATGACAGGGGGGATGCGGCGGGGGACAGACGAATGCGGCATGAGCGTGTGCGACGGGTGGGGTGTGGCTGGGCTAGGCGTAATGCGTGTGTGCAGGAGGCGGCGCAACGGGGGCGCCTGGGTGAAAGCGAGGCGGGAGAATGCGAGGGGAAAAAAGGGCGGCGAAGAGAGGAAACCAGGATGGGTGTAGACCGTGTCAACGCGGGAAACCGGCAGGATTGCGGCAAGAATGTGGCGGGGATGCGGCGGGAATGCGGTGGGAAAGTGGTGGGAATGCGGCGGTAAAGCGGCGGGAATGCGGGAATGCGGCAGGATAGGGGATGGGCGTATTACGCGCAAAGAGCGGTTCCCGCGGGGAACACCAGCGGGGATCACCGGCTGCGGGAATGCGATGGCGGGAGTGTGGCGGGCCTGCAACGGCGGGAATGCGGCGCTTGCGAGTAAAGTGGTAAGGGGAGACGATCAGAAGTGGATCAGCCATGCGTTAATACTGTTGCAAGGGGCCGCCCTACAGTGGTAGAAGGTCATCGTCGACTCAGCGGCAACTCGCACAGAAGGACAGCACGAGTGGTTCGAAGAATTCGGCGACGAAGACGAGGCAGATTTGTTGTTTGGTGTGACCCACATTCGCACGAGGGCAATGTGGTGCGCAAAGCTTCACAAGCGGTTTGAGCATGCTCCTGACTCAGACAAGGCACGCGAAACTCTATGCATGTAGAAGCAGCTGGGATCTGTGTCCGAGTACACCGCGTCATTCTTGACATTGGTGGATACATGTGGCTACATGCACGAGTTGGAGAAGGTTGACAGGTACATGGGCGGCTTGAAGCCCAAAATACAGTACCAGATAACACTGCAACGCCCTGCGAAGTGGTTACAAGACTACATCCAGCTCTCCAAAGCCGCTGATTCGCTCCCGAAGCCGAGGATGAACTTTTACGATGGAGGTCGCCCTTGAGAACAGTACCAGCGTGCCACGATAAAAGGGGTGAACGCAGTGGTTATTTACGTAGTTGCTCTGCAAAATAGGGGGATATGCTACCACTGTGGCCGGCCGGGTCACATCCGACGCAACTGCCAAGAATTCATAGCCCTCCTGATTACTATGGGGAAGAAGCTGGAGGAGCGACCGGGAAATGAATCGCGTCAGTAAGTACCGGGGCCCTTACTGACGGGCAGGCTTCTTCGCCCGAGCCACACAGTCCCAACCGGGTCGTGATCCCGATTGCTACAATCGACCGGACCCGGACGAATAAGGGGGACGAAACTGCTGATCACCCTGTGTTGGTGGAGGATAAAGTCAACGGAGTGTTATTGAAGATTTTTGTTGATGGAGGTGCGAGTTACAGTCTCATACAGCTGGACAGGGCTAAAAAAATTGGGTTTACCCTTACTCAAGTGTCTACCTGAAATCGACGCCCAACTGGGGGACGGAACGGCGCTGGCTATACGGGAACAAGTGGTGAACGTCGATTCTACTTGTGGGGAGCATGTAAAATTTCGAATGGGACTGCTGGCGACTACTCCAGACAAGTGCGACGTGCTGCTGAGACGTGATTGGTTGCGACGGTACAACTTGAAGATTGACTGGACGACGGTACAACATCAAGCTCGAGGGGATTTCCCGCGAGCTGCCCAAATGGACGGGGCCTCGCAGGCGAAGCACCCAAGTCCATGCGATCAGTTTCAAGCACCTGATGAAGGCTGGAGCTATAGCATACGCCGTTGATCTTTGCAAGGTGACATCGATGGTCGAGACTGAAGATATTGAGAAGCTCTGCGAGGCCGTCTCTCCGGACTTAGCAGACCTGATTCGGAAATACCCCAAGATTTTCCCGGACGACCTGCCCACTGGACTCCCGACGAGCTGAACTGCGGACCATCGCATCGAGCTAGAACCAGGCGCCCAACCGATGGTACAACAACAATTTCGGCTCAGCCAACCGGAACTGGAGGAATTACAGCAGAATTTGGATTATCTTCTGACGAAATGTTTTATTCGGCCTAGCACATCTCTATAAGCTGCTCTGATACTATTCACGCAGTAGAAGGATGGAGGATTCAGAATGTGTATCGACTACCGCGCGCTCAACCGGATCACCATCAAGTCGCGTTACCTGATCCTGTGAGCCGACGAACTTCTCGACCAACTTCGCGGTGCCAAGTTTTTCTCGAAAATCAACTTACGAGGGGGTAACCATCAGATTCGCGTCGCTGCGGAAGATGATCACAAAACGGCATTCCGAAGCCGCTACGCCAGCAATGAGTACCCGGTGATGCCTTTTGGCCCCACGAACGCGCCCTCGACCTTCTAAATGACCATGAATGGAATTTTCAGGTAACTCTAGGACAAATGCGTCATCATCCACCTCGACAATATACTCATCTACAGCCGCAGTAGGGTGCAGCACTTACAGGATTTTGATGCAGTCTTCACGCTGCAGCACAAGAACCGCCTTATCACCAAAGTGTGACTTTCTTAAGCAGGAGTTTGAGTTTCTGGGCCACATCGTCTCTACTGAAGGAGTGAAAATCGACCCCAAGAAAATCAAGACTGCAGGAATGGAAGCCGATGAGCAACATCATGGAGCTGCAAAGTTTTTTGGGTTCCGTGAATTAAGTCCGCCGGTTTATACTCAATATGGCCGGGTTATCTGCCCCGCTAACTGACTGACTCAAAGATCACGATTGTTCTTGGTGGGGAGAGAAGCTGTAGACTGCATTCGACCAACTAAAGGTCGCGCTCACATCGCCGCCCATCCTTTGCATCTCCGATCATGACCGTCCATACGAAGTCATCACCGACGCTAGCGACATCGTCATCGGCGCAGTTGTTCTACAAAATTTTGGCGAAGGCCTACAGCCCGTCGCCTACAAATTACGGAAGCAGCAGGGCGCAGAGAAAAATTACACGGTATACGACAAGGAAATGTTGGCGATCGTCCACGCGTTCAAGACCTGGCGGTGCTACCTGACCGGCACTGACGTTATGGTGTG